ATTTATTGCTCACACATGCCATGGGTATATGTGGAATTACTCCCCAAAATACATTCTGCTACTTCTCCTGAGTATGGGGGTACCACGTGTGAGAGACGTTTTGGCATTCCAGCCAAGTACAGGACCCCAAAATCCAATAAGCATCTTCGGGCTTTTAAAGGGCTTTATTTCCTCATTACACTTCCTGACTACCTATCACAGTTTCGGAGGCCCTGAAATGCCAGGATAGCACCAAATCCCCCCCCCCCCAAATGTTCCTTTTTTGGAATGTAGACACCCCAAGGAATTTGATAAGGAGCATGGTGAGTATTTTGCAGATCTCGTAGGCACAAGTTTTTGAAAGATGAAGAAAGAAAACAGAAACATATTTTTTCTTTTCTTTTTTTATATTTCAAAACCTTGTGATATCTGCAAAATACTCACCATGCCTCTTTTTAAACTCCTTGGGGTGTCTACTTTCCAAAAAGGGGTCATTTGGGGGGGGTGCTATCCTGGCATTTCAGGGCCTCCGAAACTGTGATAGGTAATGAGGAAGTCAAATTAGGAAGTTACACACCTTCAGGCTATCAAAGTGGTCATTGGAATTCAGGCTCCTGTATGTGGCTAGGCTCCCAAAATGTCTCACACGTGGTATCCCCATACTCGGTAGAAGTAGCAGAATGTATTTTGGGGTGTAATTCCACATATACCCATGGCTTGTGTGAGAAACATAGAATTTAAAGGACAACTTTGTGTAAAAAAAAAAAGTTTTTGTCATTTTCCAAAAACTTGTGGGAAAAAAATAAATCTTCCATGGACTCAATATGCCTCTCAGCAGATAGCTTAGGGTGTCTACTTTCTGAAAAGGGGTCATTTGAGGGTGTTTGTACTGTCCTGGTATTTTAGCACCTCAAGAAATGTGATAGGCAGTCAGAAAGTAAAAGCTGTGTAAACTCCATTATCTATACCATAGTTTGTAGAGACTATAACTTTCACACAAAGCAATCAATATACACTTATTGGGATTTTGTTAACCAAAAACATGTAGCAGAATACATTTTGGCCTAAATTTATGACATTTGAGTTTTTTGGATATTTTTTTGTGACGGAAATGAGAAAATATTAAACGCTATAACTTTCACACACACAGCAATCAATATACACTTATTGGGATTTTTTTTACCAAAAACATGTAGCAGAATACATTTTGGCCTAAATTTATGATTAAGTTACTATATATTTTTTTATAGCCGAAAGTAAAAAAATATAGTTTTTCTTCAAAATTTTAAATTTTTTTTGTTTATAGAGCAAAAAAATAAAAAAGCGCACAGGAGATCAAATACCACCTAAAGAAAGCTCTATTTGTGTGAAGAAAAGGACATAAATGTTGTTTTGGTACAGCATTGCATGACTGTGCAATTATCAGTTGAAATAGTTCAGCGCTGAATAGCAAAAAAGAGGCCTGGTCATTAAGGGGAGTAAATCCTCAGGATGGCAAGTGGTTAATGATGGTAAAGTTAAACAGAGGCCCATGGGCATTATGGTGCATGAGAAGCTCATTTCAATTTTGGAAGATACGCACGCCCAATACCTGGGGAGGGAGGTTTGGGGCCTTTGGATAGATTATAATACTCTGGCGAATATCAACCAAGCTTTGCTTTCATGTAACCTGCCTCAATAGAAGCTGCTGAAGCCTAATGGTGGGACAATTTTGATACCCCCCGTCGCCTTTTTCCTCCTCCCCTTCTTTCTTACTACTTTTTTTTTTAGGGTCAGTAGTGTATCCTCAGTGCACAGAGATTTAAAGTCAGCTGGTCTCTGCTTCCAATGTAAGGGGGCACTCTGATGGAGACACTGATGTAAGGAGGGGCTCTGATGGGGGCGCTGAAGTAAGGGGGCATCCTGATTAGGAACTTGATGTAAGGGGGACTCTGATGGAGTCCTGATGTAAGGAGAGACTCTGATAGGGCCCTGACTAAGGAGGGACTCTGATGAGTATTTTGTTTTGCCATCAAATATTTGTAAAATATATTTGTGATCCTCGTACTGAAAAGTTTGAAGACCCCCCGCTTTAGTGGGTAGTGCGCCCCTAAATGCAGACAGTGTGCACTTGGGGACGTGCACCCACACAACTGTAAAACTGGGAGCAGCAGCTGTGTTCATGCAGTTCTACGTCCCGTTTGACATGAAAGACTACCTGCACAGGGATGCATGGAACACCTTTTTAGCTCCGTGCACGCAAACAAGGTCCTCACACTTCTGTACACTGTATTACAGTACACACTGCCTCACGGATGACTTGGATTGTTTTTTGGTTCAAGCTTGCTGAGTGATGAGGTGCCAAGTACAGCAGAATGATTCAATGCTTCTTTCCAGAGTTACAGAGATAGGGACATGGGGACATGGAGAACAGCCGCAGTGACATCAGTATAACAGTAAACTCACCTGCCACATTAATTTTATCCAGGCCATTATAAAGGAGAACAAAATCAAAAACACAGCCTTTTACTCTCTCTTCAACGTCAAAGACGAGAAAGGTGACCTAGACAAAAGAGAGTGAAAGCTGTTTAGCAAGTGTATTTCCACTTTGGCAGCCAGATTGGGATAACACCTACTGTATATTTGTTACAAGTCTCCTTGTACATAGCATCATTTAAAAAATTAAAAAAAAAAAATGAAGCTTACCATTTTTAGATGTTCTTTTTCTACAAGGGAAAATTCTTCATAATTAAGTTAACACAAAAAAAAAAATGTTCTCCATTGTCTTATTGTATATTGGAACACAGCCACCCTCTATTGCTCACTCCTGAGGTGGTGTGCGTAGAAGAATGTACTGTACATGGCCGTAACTAACACATGAGGCTTGTTCCAAGCAATTGAAAGTGAGGGGAAAAGGAGAGGTTTGATAATTCACAGAGAACAATACCAAGAGGCAGAAAAAACACAGTAAAAAAAACATTTAATGAATAATAGATTGTAGGCCATTAACCACATCCCAACCGCCCTATAGCAGATATACTGCTACAGGGTGGCAGGGGTGCTCAAAATCATGTATATATATGTGATTTTGTATATCTGGGTAGGGGGCGTGCGCAAGCGCGCGGGTCCCGGTCGGTGATTCTCCGCCGCCACCCAGTGATTACCGAGCATCTCCGACGGAGAGGAGGACTGCTTTGTTTACGAACAGTCCTCCTCCCTGTCGGCTTGGGGCACACTGCTCTGGATGGCTGTGCACAGCACAGCACAGCCATCCAGAGCAGTGTGCTTACAGTGAAGCAATACACCGCCCCCCCTAGTAAAACACTCCCAGCACACTGTTAACCCTTTGATCACCCTCATGTTAACCCCTTCCTGCCCAGTGTCAGTGCTTTTTTTTTTTTAATCACTGATCACTATATTGGTGTCACTGGGGATGTCAGTGACACCAAGTCAGTTCCCCCCAAGTGTCAGAATGCCCGCCACAGTCCCGCTATAAGTCACTGATTGTCACCATTACCAGTATCTATACTGCCATTTGTAAACGCTATAACTTTCACGTAAACCAATTAATGTATTGGGATTTTTTATAGCAAAGACATGTAGCACAATACATTTTGGCATAAATTTATGACAAAATTTGATTTTTTACATTTTTTTTACTGGACATGTTTAATAGCAAAAAGTCAAAAATATAGTTTTTTTTTCTCAAAATTGTTGGTCTTTTTTTTTTTTTTTTATAGCGCAAAAACTAAAAATGAATAGATGAACAAATACCACCAAACGAAAGCTCAATCAATGGGAAAATAATGTAAATTTCATTTTGGTGCAGCGTTACATGACTGCGCAATTGTCAGTTAAAGTTATGCAGCGCTGCAACGCAAAAAATGTACTGGTCACGAAGGGGGGAAAATCATCTGGAGGGCAAGTGGTTAAGTAATGGGTGTGTAGATTATTTTTGGGAGAATAAGGATATCACTTCAGCCTTGTCTGTACTGTCTTTCCTTAAAAAAAAAAACTATTAAAAACTGCACCCAAAAGGCAGGTAGAGGGCTTAGAACTAATCACCGAAACTGCCTGTGGGCTTCCTGACGCTGATCTTTCCGCATTACTGACTTACCATGCCTTGTCCTGCATTGTTCAGGACAGTTAATAGGGGACGCTGAAACCCTGGGGTTTTTCTGCAGGTTTCTTCACACTGTGGTCCCTGCAGTCTCTTCTCCGCTATACTCCTCTGACATCACCAATTCCAATGCAGAGCACATAGCCCTGTATTGGAATTGAGGACGCCAAGAGACATTGCACACCACTGAAGCATAGGGGAGTTGAGAGTGCTGAAGGAGTGGGGGATCAGGTAGGTAAATGTGCTTTTCGAATCCCCTAGAACTAAACCAGTTTTAAAGTGACACTGAATTCTGGTGTAAAAGAAAAATATATTTAGGTCTGTATTCCTAACTGAAAAAAATATTTTGCTCTTAGTCACCAAATCTACAAATTCCTTTTTTGTGCTGTGATCTGACTTCCTGTTAGAGGGTGGCTACGTTAATTCTCCATGGTTCCACTGTATATAGGAAAGCACTTACCCTCTCTTGCATGTGCCTGAGATGGACTATGGGATGTGTAGTGCGCACAGAGCACTGAACATCACCAATACTAACATGCACTGCTTGTTCCAAAGAAACAGAAGTGAGGGAGAAAAGAAGAGTTTTAAGAGTTCACAGATGACATTACTAAGAGCCAGAAAAACACAGTAGGAAACAATTTTAAGTAGTGGATATGTATGGATTATTTTTGGAAAATAAATACCGTATTTTTTGCTCCATAAGACGCACTTTTTTCCCCCCAAAAAAGGGGGGGAAATGTCAGTGCATCTTATGGAGCGAATATGGAGCGGCCGGTCAGGTATTCCCACCGCCGCCGCCGTGTCAGAATACCAGGCCGGCCGCTCGTCTCTTCTCTGCAGTAGAACCTTACCTGTCCCTTGGTCCAGCGCTGTACAGTCTTCCCGCGTCGGCATCTTTAGTGTGGGCTCTCGGCTGTGACAGCTGGGTGCCCAGTGCGCATGCACGAGAATGACACAGGACAGGTCCCAGAAGACTCCGGACCAATCACAAAGTGCAGCGCTTCTCGCGCAGTGGGCACCCAGCTATCAGCCGGGTGCCCACACTAAAGGGAGGACAACTGTCAAATTCAGGTATCTGCTCTCCCTCCCCAAAGGTCTGCAGTCTCTTAGTCATCCCCTGTACTGTCTGCAGTCTCTGGTCAGGCCCTGTACTGTCTGCAGTCTCTTGGTCATCCCTGTACTGTCTGCAGTCTCTGGTCATCCCCTGTATTGTCTGCAGTCTCTTGGTCATCCCCTGTATTTTCTACAGTCTCTTGGTCATCCCCTGTATTTTCTACAGTCTCTTGGTCATCCCCTGCACTGTCCGCAGTCTCTGGTCATCCCCTGTACTGTGTCCGCAGTCTCTTGGTCATCCCCTATACTGTCTGCAGTCTCTGGTCATCTCCTGTACTGTTCGCAGTCTCTGGTCATCTCTTGTACTGTGTCCGCAGTCTCTTGTCATCTTCTGTACTGTGTCCGCAGTCTCTGGTCATCTCTTGTACTGTCCGCAGTCTGGTCATCTCCTGTAGTATGTTCGCAGTCTCTGGTCATCTCCTGTACTATGTCCGCAGTCTCTGGTCATCTCCTGTACTGTCCGCAGTCTCTGGTCATCTCCTGTACTGTCCGCAGTCTCTGGTCATCTCCTGTACTGTGTCCGCAGTCTCTGGTCATCTCCTGTACTGTGTCCGCAGTCTCTGGTCATCTCCTGTACTATGTCCGCAGTCTCTGGTCATCTCCTGTACTATGTCCGCAGTCTCTGGTCATCTCCTGTACTATGTCCGCAGTCTCTGGTCATCTCCTGTACTATGTCCGCAGTCTCTGGTCATCTCCTGTACTATGTCTGCAGTCTCTGGTCATCTCCTGTACTATGTCTGCAGTCTCTGGTCATCTCCTGTACTATGTCTGCAGTCTCTGGTCATCTCCTGTACTATGTCCGCAGTCTCTGGTCATCTCCTGTACTATGTCTGCAGTCTCTGGTCATCTCCTGTACTATGTCTGCAGTCTCTGGTCATCTCCTGTACTATGTCTGCAGTCTCTGGTCATCTCCTGTACTATGTCTGCAGTCTCTGGTCATCTCCTGTACTATGTCTGCAGTCTCTGGTCATCTCCTGTACTATGTCTGCAGTCTCTGGTCATCTCCTGTACAATGTCTGCAGTCTCTGGTCATTTCCTGTACTGTGTCTGCAGTCCATTGGTTCAGAATATTTTTTTTCTTGTTTTCCGCCTCTAAAACCTAGGTGCATCTTATGGAGCGAAAAATACGGTATATAGTTTAGTGTCACTTTAACCTTGCAGTGTGGGAGGAGCTCCACTTTACTTTTTCTGAGACAAACTTTAATATCCAAATGTCAGTAATGCCAACCTTTATCCTTAAAGATGCTGGACAATTTATAATCCATTGGCAGTCTAGGTTGCTGCTGTATTTTTCTGGATGATGTATTGTCTGTATTTCTCCTTCTTCAGAAACAACAGCGACAGATCCACACTGAGAATCTGGAATGACAATGATATGCTGATCTAATGTGGTATAAGAAAGATCACCAAAGATGAAAGAAACTTCAGTAATAAAGAATAAGTAATGCACATCAGTGCTGGACAGGAATAACGCTGGATCCATTTGATATTGTCATCTGTAGCCTTGAAACCAGCTCAGCTTGCGTCTGCTCTGCCCCATGTATTCTCCTCTTCCTAGCACTCTAATATTTTCTAAAACTAATCAGAATATTCCTAGTCACAGAACAGCTTTTCTCAATCGTTTTAAACATGGAGGGACCCCTGAAATAACTTTCCGGTCTCAATGAAATGCTGCTAATAATTATTAGTACATTTAGCATGATGATTATGGAGAAAAATCCTTCTTACATTTGTTGTCAGTGGGAGGAATCCTCCTCGCACAAATGGCTAAAAAATCATTGGTGTCACTGGCAACTTATTTAATGTGTTCCTAAACCTAGGACCTTCCATGCACTATATCTGGTATCCCACAGTACACACAACATGGAATGCAATTATTTTAGTAAATATAGACTGCTAAATACCTTTTCTCATCAGCAGTTAGAGCAGTCTTGTGACTTCAGCAGAGCAAAGCTTGTAGGAAGTTTTCTTCTGCTTTAGGAGGATGGGAAGGTCCTGGCCTCTGTATGGACAGTGCTGATTGGCCCTGTGCTGATCACATGCACTTTTCCAAGAAAAAAAAAAACCTCTCTAGCAATACATACTAAACCGAGATAATAAACATAAAAAACTAAAAATAATGCAGTTGCATAAGTGTGCACACCCTCTTATAACTGGGGATATAGCTGTGTTCAGAATTAAGCAATCACATTCAAAATCATGTTAAATAGGAGTCAGTACACACCTGCCAGCATTTAATGTGCCTCTGATTAAACCCAAATAAAGTTCAGCTGTTCTAGTAGGTCTTTCCTGACATTTTCTTAGTCACATCCTACAGCAAGAGAGCTTCCAAAGCATCAGAGGGATTTCACTGCTAAAAGGTATCAGTCAGGAGAAGGGTACGAAAGAATTTTCAAGGCATAAGATATACCATGGAACACAGTGAAGACAATCAACATCAAGTGGAGAAAAATATGGCGCAACAGTGATATTACCAAGAACTGGACGTCCCACCAAAATTGATAAAAAGACAAGAAGATAACTGGTCTGGGAGGCTGGCAAGAGACCTACAGCAACATTAAAGGAGCTGCAGGAATATCTGGCCAGTACTGGCTGTGTGGTACATGTGACAATAATTTCCCATTCTTCATATGTCTGGGCCAGGGGCGGACAGACTATTTGGGAACTCAAGCAATGCCCAAGGGCCCGGGGTCAGTAGGGGGCCCCATGAGATGCTCCTGGTACCTTTCACAGGCTTTTTTGGATGTGGTTTGAGTGTGGGCGAGGACGCAGAGGCCCCATGATCCCCTATTGCCCGGGGGCCCCATGAGTTGTCAGTCCACCCCTGGTCTGGGCTATGGGGTAGACTGGCAAGACAGAAGCCTTTTCTAATGAAGAAAAACATCCACGCCTGGCTACATTTTGCAAAAACACATCTGAAGTCTCCCAAAAACATGTGGGAAAATGTGTTAAGGTCTGATGAAACCAAGGTTGACCTTTTTGGCCATAATTCCAAAAGATATGTTTGGCGCAAAAACAACACTGCACATCACCAGAGAACACCATACCCACAGTGAAGCATGGTGGTGGCAGTATCATGCTTTGAAGTTGTTTTTCTTCAGCTGGAACTGGGGCCTTAGTCAAGGTAGAGGGAATTTATGAACAGTTCCAAATACCAGTCAATATTGCCACAAAACCTTCAGGCTTCTGCTAGAAAGCTGAACATGAAGAGGAGCGTCATCTTTCAGCATGATAACGACCCAAAGCATACATCCAAATCAACAAACGAATGGCTTCACCAGAAGAGATTAAAGTTTTGGAATGGCCCACCCAGAGCCCAGAACTGAATCAGACTGAAAATCTGTGGGGTGATCTGAAGAGGGCTGTGCACAGGAGATGCCCTCGCAACCTGACAGATTTGGAGTGTTTTTGCAAGGAAGAGCGGGCAAATGTTGCCAAGTCAAGATGTGCCATGCTGATAGACTCATGCCCAAAAATACTGAGTGCTGTAATAAAATCAAAAGGTTCAAACTATTAGTTTAAGGGTGTGCACACTTATGCAACCATATTAGTTTAGTTTTTTATTTTTACTTCCCTCCACCTAAAAGATTTCAGTTTGTTGTTCAACTTCGTAGTAGACTTTAAAGGTCATATTTAAGGTGGAAAATGTTCCGAAATTATTTATCTTTGTCTCATTTTTTTACATCACAGAAACATGACATTTTAATAAGGGTGTGTAAACTTTTTATATCCACTGTACATATAAAGCATACACTGGCCATTTTTGAAAATGGTCGGGTTTAAAAATTGCAGAGGTACTATACGGTGCTACCGGTATACTGACTCTACGATTAAACTCTTTACAGACTGACACCCGTTAAGAGACTGCAGGTGGAACAAACTCTGTACCAGACAATACCAATAAATTGTCACATCAGGCTTTTATGGTGGAGAGCGTCTTCTTTTTTTTCTTGGATGGTTAAAATTCTTGAAAATTGGCCATATTTGAAAATGACATAATATAGGCCGGAATTAAAAAAACAACTTATTGCATACACAGCAATGTTTGAAGCAGAATCACCTGAATATTCTTCTGGTTCTACCGCCAGGTAGGACAGCACAAATCCAGTCCTGCATTCTTGAAAATCAGAGATGAATTTCAGGTTGACTTTATTTTTTTTGATAAGTAAAGGCCGAGGACGATCACTTCCACAGAATTTCCCTAGAATGAAAATGGAACTTTAAGAAAACAAATCTATTAGATAAAGTAAGTGGATGGTGTTGTCAAGAAGTTTGGATAGTGAAGAAATTGCTTTTAAAAAAGAAAAGAAATTGCTTTTACATTTGAAAGGAAAAGTGTAATGATTTTTGTTCATTAATTTTTTAGCTCATCTTTAAAGATGAATTTCAGGTATGGATATTTTTACAGTTAGTTTGGACTAATGTAAGTACTGTATGTATGTTCCAAACTTGGACCTGGAAGCTGGAAATCACTGTAGTAGGTACAGCAACTACAGCGATTTCCACTTGCTTCTGGGTCTCCTGCCAAGCAGCTGCACAGGACCTGGAATTCTTCTTTAAAATGGAAGTAAACTATATCTGAGCATCACAAACACTGTTTAAGTGATTTTTAATATTTAAAGCAAAAGCACCCATCCATCCATGCCCCCATGCTTTATTTTATTGAGAAAACACAGTAGAGCACATCATGGGGTACACAGGAGGGCACAGCTTCGGGAATAGCACAGCATGTTATGGGGCACAGCAGGACATATTACAGGGAACACAGCAGGGCATATAGGGCACACAGCTGGGCACAGCATGGTGAATCATGGGGAACACTGCAGAAGCACATCATGGGGCACACAGCAGGGCGGATCATTGGGCACACAGTAGGGCAGGTCACATGGCACACAACAGGGCATGGGGCACACTGCAGGGCACAGGGCACATCATAGAGCACACTGCAGGGCACAAAGCAGGGTATGGGGCACACACTAGGGCACAGAGCACATCATGGGGCACATTGCAGGGCACATCATGGGGCACACAGCAGGGCACAGAGCACATCATTGGGAACACTGCAGGGCACATCGCGGGGAACACAGTCGGGCACATCACAGGGCACGGGACAGATCACAGGGCACATCGCAGGACACACCATGGGGCACACAGCAGAAAACAGGGCATTGGGCACACAGCAGAAAAAGAGGCATGGGGCACACAGCAGAAAACGGGGCACGGGGAACACAGCAGGGTACATTGCTGTAGCAGTTTCCTTCACATGCAGAGTAGCATGGGAAACGGCTGTAATGAGCCGTATAAAAGGTGTATTTTTTACAGAATGTTTGTAGTGTTCTCTATTAGAAATAAGAAAAGTGCTACAAAGCCATATTTGCCATCCTGAAAAAT